GTAGACGGGGCTACTGGGCGTGGCGATGACGAACAAGATTGGCGGATTAAGATAAATGCTTCTAGCAGGGCTGCAGGAGGCTGCATCCCACAGCGAGACACTTCGCTCAAATTATTCTAAGAACTGAGGTTATGTTAGATAACCAAACGATTTCCCTTCTTTTCAATTCTAAAATTTGCATTACAGAACTGATTATCATGATGTTAGGTGAAGTATCCATAAATAAAGCCTGACCCAGTGAAAACTAACTGGAGAAGTGTAAAACTTTGTTTAAAGTTAAAAAGAATGGTTTCTCCTCATAAATAATAAAGAGGACATTTAAAATTCATAGGAATTTCCTTTACAGTATTTACATTTATCCATCCATCCATTGTCGTAATCGCTTATTCTCTAATGGGGTGGTGGGGAGAACTGGTGCCTATCCCAGTGGTCAATGGGTGAGGTACACCCTGGACGGTCCGCCAGTCCATCGCAGGGCCACACAGAGACACACAAGGACAAACAACATGCCCACTCACACTCACTCCTAAGGGCAATTTGGAATGCCCAATCAACCTAACATGCAGGTTTTCAGACTGTGGGAGAAAGCCGGAGAACCCAGAGAAAACCCACGCAGACTCAGGGAGAACATGCAAACTCTACACGGAAAGGTCCTTATCCCCAGGACTCGAACCCACAACATCTTGGTGTGAGGCGGTGGTGCTAGCCACCACACCACCGTGCCACCCGTATTTACATTTAACGATGCATTAATTCCGAATCCGTCCGATTAACACTACTGTTCAGGTTTTCCTGGAGATGATCTTTATTTTCTATAAAATTAAAGTGGAAAACCCACAAACAACTTGCATTGGGTGACGTCAGATGAGTAAGTGGTCCTGTGCTTCACTTTGGCCAAATAAGCATTTACATTTAAACTGTGACACAAACCAGATGGGTGATGGACCACCTCTGTGAGATGTGAACGTGTCCTCTGTGCATCAGACCTGTACTTAATGCAGTCCACTCGCGATTGGATCCTCCATAACTTTGCTATCTCCGATTATTTTTCATCTTAAAGGCATTTCTATGTCTGAGTCAATCCCCCCCCAAAAAAATATATATATATATACAGAGCAAAACCTAGATCTCTCCTTTTTTGAGACGAAATATGTCAATACTCTTTCCTATGTGGGATTGATTCTGAACAGAAGAAAGCTACTTTAATCTGTGCAGGAAAAGCCATGATGCTGTTTTCACCCTCATATTTATGGAGAGTGTGGAGAATGAAGAGCAGCCCCACTCAAATGGAAAGATGGCCAAAAAGACAGGACATTTATGCAACAGGCGACAGATGAAAAATGGTAAATTCAGAGTCTAGACATCTTTTTTCTTTTTTTTTAAGTCAAATTTAAATCAGGCATGTGTCCATCAGAGTATGAAACTTTCATCATTACAAAAACTTCATATAAATTTTATCAAATGTTCAAGAAAAACTCCTTTCAATGCTACTGTTAAACATGTCTTTATAAAATTAGTTGGTTTCTATCCGTGATGGGCTGGTTTTATTTCAGGAATTCGTCTTCAACTGTTTAGATTGGGAAACACACATGGTTATAAATTGTGAATATAAAAAAAAAAATCAACAACACAACAAAAACAACAAAACAATTAACAATCAGTCCCAGTTCTTAATATCAGACAGAAATAGCGGTGAAGTCAAATAAGAAAAAACAGTTTGCAACTCAACAGGAGTGTCTATTAAATACAAAGCATGACAAAGGGCCGACCACATCTGTGAAAAAGATTTACCTTGGCTACATGCTGACAAAGAAATCCTTCAGAAATCTTAAGTTATCTTTCATTTGACAATCTAAAATACACATGTTGTTGAGTTCATGCCAATTCTGATCGGCCATACCGAGACTGAAAGTGAGAAATCGCAACACAATATGTAACCAGTCTTTGTTTTAAGTTTTTTTTTTATATCATTCTAACTTCATTCTGAATCTTGATTTGGCATGAAAAAATGACTTTTTCCCATGTTTTCCTGTTGCCAAAGGAAGCTCCACCTAAATACCGACGTGTTAACCTCCAGTCTAACCGCACATCTTCCCAATGTCTCTTTCCTCCTGCCATGTCATTTTGACACCATCTGCTAAGTGTGCAATTAGTTTTTGACCAAAAGAAAATATGATGGACCTGTTTTCTTTTCTTTTTGTGAAGGCCACGCTTTCTTATCTTCTCAAATTAAGTCTGAGCGAGGATGGCCGGGGGAGGGCCAAGGGAAGCGAGCAGCCTTTTGAGGGTCTGACCTCTAATTTAGCAAAAACCCCTGGAGTAATGCAACACCTTTGGGAAAGAATTAGCCAGACTTTCAGTGGCTGATGCTATTGTGTCTGTTAGGCATTTCCAATATGATAGCAGAGGCTTCTGGGTTTTGTCAATGCGGCTTATTGCAAAAACATAAATAATGCAAGTCGATTTTATGAAAACCACCAGAGTTTCTTATCAGAGCAAATATCTATATCAGATCAAGTTTTATCATTTTTTTCCACTGAAATATATGATTTAAATACTTCTAAATCAAGCTCCAGCACAATTTAATCAAATTATCATGTCTTCACCAGCACCAGCACTTTTTTCATTTGAACCAGGTGTTCTGGAGCTAGAGAACATGCAGCTTGAGTTGAGAAACACTGACCTAGCTTCCAACTACACTTTCCTTCAACTGTCCTTTCCATCCATCCACCCATTATCATTACCACCTATCCCAGTGTTCAATGGGCAAGAGGCGGGGTACAGCCTGGACAGTCTACCAGTCCATCGCAGGGCCACAGAGAGACACATCCATGCACACTCACTCCTGAGGGCAATATGGAATGTCCATTCAATCTAACATGCAGGTTTTTGGATGGTGGGAGGAAGCCGGAGAACCCACGCAGACACAGGGAGAACATGCAAACTCCACACAGAAAGGGTCCTTACTCTCTCTCTCCCAATCACAAATCCAGACTCCACAGCTCCAGGAAAACCTGCAGGAAGTGATAGGAGGAGAGAGGAGAGGGACGATAAACCACACCACTACAGCAAAGGTAAAAGTCCAGTTATCAACATGCATTAATGGGATGAGGTTGCACTCAGAGGGAGAGAGAGAAGATGAGAGGGGAGCTGGATGCATCATGGGAAATCCAACGGCAGTCTAGGTCTATAGCAGCATAACTAAGGGTGGACTCACCTAAGCCAGCCCTTACTATAAGCTTTATCAAAAAGGAAAAATCTTAAGCATACTCTTAAATGTAGAGACGGTGTCTGCCTCCCGAACCCAAAGAGAGAGAGGACTCTGATCGCTGAACGCTCTGGCTCCCCTTCTACTTTAGAAGACTCGAGAAACTACAAATAACCCTGCATTCTGGGAGCGCAGTGCTCTGGTGGGGCAGTAAGGTACTATGAACTCTTTAAGATAAAATGGTGCCTGACCATAAAGAACTTTGTATGTGAGAAGAAGGATCTTAAATTCTACTCTGGATTTTCAGGAAGCCAATGCAGAGATCAATGGTGTCAAAAGCAGAACTAAGATCTAAAAAAAAACAATAGTCCTTCATCTGATGCCGTTAGGAGGTCATTAGTAATTTTCACCAATGCTGTCTCTGTGCTATGATGAGCTCTAAATCCTGACTGAAAATCTTCAAACAAGCTATTGCTATGTAGTCACACAGCTGTTTGGCAACTGCTTTCTTCAGGACCCTAGAGATAAATGCAAGGTTAGATATAGGTCTATAGTTGGCTAAAACATCTGGGTCTAGGTTTGGCTTTTTCAAAAGAGGTTTAATTACAACTACTTTAAAGTACCGTGGCACATAGCCCGCTGATAAAGACAGATTGATCACATCTAGTAGAGAGGTGCTGACTCAGGATAAAACTTCTTTAAGCTGCCAAGTCAGGATGGGGTCAAAGAGGCAGGCTGATGGCTTGGATGAAGAAATTATTGAAGCTAGTTGGCAAAAATTGTGGGAAGGAGAGCATATAACTGGTTTTACAGCTGTTTCTAACGTTCCTGAGTTTAAAGATAAATCGGTGCCAGTTGAGGGCAAAATCTTGGTGGATTTAGTTTCTAATAGCTAGAACTTAATCATTAAAGAATGTTGTGAAGGACTAGGGACTTCCCATATTATCAGGTTGCCTCCTTCTGGCTGTTTTACGTCCTGTGCGTGCGACCCTCGTGACTACACCTGTGGAGTGTATTGGGGTGCGAGTCCGAGGGTCGCATGCGCACACGCCAGTGGATGGAGAGATAGAGAGGAAAGGACCCCCCTTTCTTTCTGTGGACTTTTTGTGCCATTTTGGATGTTGTTGTGTGTTCATAAACCAAACTACAACTTCACAACTTCACAACCACAACTTCATAACTTAACATGTAACAACTGAAGAACAACTGCAATAAATACTCTGGAAACTTTCATCATGCCTGCATTTTAATCAAATGCCCCACGGCGGCTCCTACAGATTTAAAAGGATCAGTCAAAACAAAGAAGCTCATGAAGTCGTGGCTAGTGAAAGCTATGGGAATACTTGACTCGATAGAGCAGTGACTTTTTGTCAGCCTGGCCACAGTGCTAAAAAGAAATCTGTGATTGTTCCTATTTTCCTCTATTAAAGACGAGTAGTACGCTGCTTTGGCATCACGGAGGTACGAGACCAGCTTCAAGTTCCTCAGGGTGCTCATAAACTACAACTTAAAATTAAGTACAGGCACCACTGGTGTAGCAACAAAGCTCTAGCGTAGATTACATTTCCTCAAGATATTCAGGAAAAAAACAAAAACAACAGTGCCATTCCACAAGAGACTTTTAGTCACTGCTTGATAGAGATATTAACATACCCTGAGTATGTGCAAGGTGTGTGGTTAAAAGGACCCAATTGAAATGTTTTGTTATTGTAAATGTTTTCTTATCAGGCTCAGTAAATATAGCCCCTGGTGTTGTAAAGAGCAATATATGTTAGACCAACGCAGAAATATAATTTTGTTGTGACTTTAATTGTAGTGGTTACACACAGTGGATTATAGTATTATTTAGATGCAAAAAGAAAAAAAACAAATCAGATAGTCTAATGATATATTTTGCCACTGTTGGTTCACATTTTTCCAGAATCTTGTGGATCAATGTAGCCATCTGGTGGCATTAGTGAGTTGAAGCGCAGGAGAGGCAGGTCCACAGGCCGGCAATGGTCCTTTGCTGGGGCCCAGCCCTCTCTGACAGCTCTTGAAGGTGGTGGTGGAGGTGGTAGGTCAGTGTCAATAGGGCCTGAGTAGCTGTCATGTGGATGGAGGTGGTTGTTGTTGTTTGCGTCAGGAGGTGAAAGGCTGCCATTGCTTTGACAGCGTACAAGGAATGCCCCCCGGTGGTGACGGTGATAAAGTGTGCCAGCCACCACCATCAGAGTCAGAATAAGGGAGCTTAGCAGAAAGAAAAGCACATAGACACCTTTTGTCTCAGTGGACAGGCCTGAGCCACATTCTGTGGGAAAATAACAGGAAGTCAATCCCCAACATACAGGACTTTGTATGGTAATCCAACGAATCATGGTGAATCAAAGATATGCGCACCTGTCGCCTTTGCATCCACACAAATGGTTCCTCCTGATCCAAAGCGAGACTCATCGTTAAAGCCTGGCCTACAGTGGCAGGAGTATGAGCCAAAGTGGTTTACACAGTCTGCATTAATGTCACACAAAACCAGCTGGGTTCCACACTCATTTACATCTGTAACACACACAAAAAAAAGACTGATAAGAACCTCTTAAGTTAATTTATGTTCGCCTTTTGTACAAGTTGTCAAATGCAGTGATCAGATATAGTCAGAAGGTCTTGGGAGATAACTAAGTGGAGTCAGTAGCATTGCTTTTATACTGTGAAATATATTTTCTCAATATGGGGTGCTTCTACGCCCCCATATGTTGGGAACTTTGATCAGAACTCAAGACTCAAGCCCTGCTGTATACCTGCAGAGGACACGGAGATGATGGCGGCATTCCTGAAGGTAGCTCTAAGGTTAAGTAGTCCTTGCATAGCAGACTTGACAGCCATCTGAATGCCCACACCTCCAGACCCTTGTCCAATCTGTAGCCAGAGAATGTACAGTGCTCCTGCATTCAACCTGCAAGATTTATCATATTCAATTTAGCAGCAAATTAATGAGCCGCAAACACAAAGCAAAATATTAGAGCTAATAAGATGCAGCATAGTTTAATACAAGGTCTTGGGACTGCTTCCATGCTCAAATTTATTTAGATGAGAAATGAAAAAATTGTAATTTCATTTTCTTCCTAAAATGTCATAGGCGAATAGAATCTCCTCATTACAGTTGTTGTACATTCTTTTAGCTTTTGCACTTGATTTATGTTGAATTTCATGACTGTAGGATTCAGGGTTTTTTTTCTTTTAACCCAGATATTTGACAGGCTGTATACTGAACAAACCTTTTTATTCTTTTTGAGGACAGGTATACTTGTTTATGCAGAGCATCCATATGCTTGGTGATCTAAAGAAATATATCAAGTGATGAGTTGAGCCTCCTCAAAACAGTGACATCTTGTCTTTTCATTTTCAAACACGTTTTATTTATTTTTTTAACCAACCTACCACAGTCTTAATTGACAACAGCAGTAATCTGGCCAGGCTGTCCCATGATTCCTCCAAATCCTCACTGAAATTGACCTCAACAGCAACTTCAAACAGGTAATCTGCCAGGGAGCAAAAAAACACAAACCGAAAAAAGAAAAAGAAAAAAGAAAAACCAAGAATCAACAGCCCGATATAAAAATATGCAAAGGTTTAATTATATCAATCTAAAAGATAAAGAACACTATGTAAAATCTAACGTTCTATTTCTAATTTCAAAATTTTTAACTATTATCTGCACCATACAGTTATTAAGTGTAAGTCAAACAACAGATTCTCACCTCCTGGAGGATGTGGAACTCGAGTGTTATTTTTAATGGTCTCTACAAGATAAAAAAAAAAAAAAAAAAAAAATAAAATTTAAAAAAAAAAAAACACTTTTGGTTTCGGTCCAACTGCCGAAATACAGCACAGGTTGTTTACTTTAGCAACAAAAATGATTTTGACATAGAGTTGATGGTTTTAGCATGTCAATCACTAATCTACTGCAGGGCCAAACCTGGTTGTGAGTTTTGTGGCAACCAACAGAAAACTGTAAAACCACAAGAAGGGGTATAGGTAATTCTGAAGTGCTGACTCAAATCTGTATCGAGACATTTAAATATATTTATCCATGATTTGTGTAAAGTTAAATTGGGAGGGGGAGGGGTAAACATTTACAACATTTTCCAGTTTAAATTTACTCACGATTGCCTCCGTAGTCTGATTGCTGTTCCACCTTCTTGGAGCGAGGATAGTAGTGGCCATTGTGCTGTAGTTTAGGACTAAGGGAGGAGGAAAGAGGCTGATCTGAGGTCTCACTGACCTTCAGTCTGTTCTGCTCATCTGTAGCTTGCTCAGCACCGTGACCAGTACTCTCCCCTTTGGCCTTGCTTTGCAGCCTGTGCTTAACCTCTGCAGCGGTAGCCTCAGAGGCATTCCTTTGTTCTGCTGAGGTGTTTGTGTTGGTTTTGAGTCCGTTATGTTGACTGTCACCTTGCTGCTGCAGAGATGGAGGGAGAACCGCCGAGTCAGACTGGCCATGTGAGACACCTCGTCCCAAGCGAAATGTCTTCTGGATTGATGCCGACACTGTAGGTGCAGCCATGAATTCATGATAGACATGGCTGTAGTTTTCAGGGGAGGGGTAAAAGTTTGCACCCACCTGAGAAAAGACAGAAGATGAATGACATTTCACATTTGTATCAGAAATAATACTTATAGGTGCAAATATAGTACAAAACCTGGGACTAAAAATTCTGACAGCTTACATTCACAAATCAATAAAAATCAAATAAATTAAAAAGTGACATTGAAAAATTCATTTCATGCTGCATGAAATGGGGGGGGGGGGGTCAGGGCTACACAGAAGGCTCCTTTCCCCATTTTTGATATACCTTCATATTCAGCTTTTAAGAAAAACAAAAATACATATTAAACTGTCATCTTGGGAACTTTTAGTGCTAATTTGGCTAGTTCACATCTTCAAACTATAAGTCACACTTGTGGTTGAGTAGTAGAATTTGAACCTGACATTTTGAATTGCTGGTAGAGAGGTAGTGTGGAAAAACATAAATGTTTGGTAATGTTAAAGAGCTCTCCGTTTAGTCCCATCCCCCCATGTTAAATTAGTCGCATTGTAATTTAAAGAGATTTGCTGTGACAATGAAATCCACCCATCCATCCATCAATTTTCCACCGCTTATCCGGGGTCGGGGGCAGTAGCCAAAGCAGGGAAACCCAGACTTTCTCCCCCGCCACTTCTGCCAGCTCCTCCGGGAAGATCCCAAGGTGTTCCCCGGCCAGCCGATACATTTCGTCGCTCCAGCGTGTCGTGGGTCTTCCTCTGGGCCTCCTCCCAGTGGGATGTACCCAGAAGACCTCACCAGGGAGGCGACCCGAAGGTATCCTAATTATTTGCCCGAGTCACCTCAACTGACTCCTCTCGACGTGGAAGATCAGCGGCTCTAATCCGAGCCCCTCCCGGATGGCTGAGCTTCTCACACCATCTCTAAGAGAGAGCCCAGCCACCCTGTGGAGGAAACTCATTTCGGCCGCTTGTATCCATGATCTCGTTCTTTCGGTCACTACCCAAAGTTCATGACCATGGATGATGGTGGGAACATAGATTGACTGATAAATCAAGAGCTTCACCTTTAAGCTCAGCTCTCTCTTCATCATTACAGACCGGTACAGAAACGGGTCTGACTTACTACTGGTAATGCGAACCAAGCTCTGACACCGAATGTACAGGGACCTAACAACCTGTAACAAAGGGCCCGGTACCCCATACTCCCGGAGCAACCCCCACAGGGTTCCCCAAGGGACACAGTTGAACGCCTTCTTCAAGTCCACAAAACACATGTGGACTGGTTGGGCAAACTCCTGTGAAAGCTCCAGGACCCCGCTGAGGGTATAGAGCTGGTCCAGCGTTACACGGCCAGGACGATAACCACTCTGCTCCTCCTGAATTTGAGGTTCGACTATCCAACAGACCCTCCCCTCCAGAACCGCCGAATAAATCTTCCCATGGAAGCTTAAGAGTGTGATTCCCCTGTGACTGGAACACACCCTTCGGTCCCCCTTTTTGAATAGGGGGACCACCACCCCAGTCTGCCAATCCAGTGGGACTGCCCCTGATGTCCACGGTACAATGAAGAGTTGCTTAAGGCAACGCAACCCTACAACATCCAGAGCCCTAAGGAACTCTGGTCGAATCTGGTCCATCCCTGGAGCCTTGCCACCGAAGATATTTTAAACCACCTCGGTGACTTCAGCCCCAAGATCCCAAGGCTCTGTCCCTCCAATGGAAGATGCGCCAGTGGGATTGAGAAGGTCCTCAAACAGTGTAAGCGAAGCACTGCTAACTCCCCCCCCCCCTTCAATTAAAAAAAAAGCTGCAGTGCAAAATGTGGGTCTATAGATTTTTCAATGACCGTTTCTCTTCCATCGACCAGGTTTGTTTTTCAATAACAGTGTTTCATTGTTCAATATTTGATTTGACATCGTTTCATTTTCAAATGCCAAATCTCTTTTTTGATGTCAATGTAAACAATCACTACTTTTTTCTCAAATGAAAAACCTAACAAATAACCCAGTGAGAAAATGCCTCATCTACGATCCACAAAAATGTCATCTTAAACACAGTTAAGGATACAATTGTTATTCCAGCACATTTGTACCTACCTCTGTGATTCTTTCTGTGGTCTCAGACTCCCAGGGCTCCCCTGCAGGCAAGTCTAAATGTTGATCATAATAATTAAATATCACTTGAGAATTTCCCGTCTTCAGTTGTTCATCATTCGTAACTGGTCCAAAATCCTCAAACTCTGTTAGTCCAGGAGATGGTTCCAGCCCCTTGTTTCTCCCAGTAAAGCCTTCCAGTGGGTTGTATGCAACTGGTGGTCCAAATGCCTGGTAGTGGGCATAAAAGCCCCTGTAAGAAGGACTGGGCCAGCCACCAATTAGCAGCACCACATACAGAGTGTTGGAGGACGATGTGTACTTGGCCTCTTGCCAGCACATCTGCAGCACCTTGTGGCCACCTGAATGTCCAGCTGGCTCATCCACATGAATCTGGTCCTGCTTGAATTGGCAGGTCTCATCAGGAGTCAAGTCCTCCAAGTGGAGATGTATCCTCTTTCCAGGATGGACCTGAATGGTCCAGTTGCACCACAGGGGTGGGTTGGAGCACAGATAGTCGGGAGAGAAAAACTCACCGCTCTCACTACGGAGCAGCTGGTGGCAACTCCGTAAGGCAAAAAAAGCATTCCCATCTGAATGAAAACAGATCAACCATTAGCATAAATTAATGCAATACTGTATAACCAACTTATAGTCAACGTTTTTATGTAATTTAAGTAAAACTGAAGAAAATCTATAGAAAAATAAATGGAAATCATGTTTGACTGATTTAAGAAATATAATTCTCTCAATGTTTCGAGTCTACAAAATTTCATTAAAAGATCAAATAAAAATTATGCTTTATTTGTCCCAAAGCACATATTTTCCATCTGTTTGATTTATTTTAAGATGTAAAAGTTTCAACACCACTAAGATTCAGATTTTCAATTTCAAATAAACCATTACTATCCTTTTAGTTTTTATACTGCAAATATGTAAACAAGTAGAGCGGCATTTTTAAAAAAAGGTTTTGGTGGCACAGTAAGATTATCTGAGGAGATTTACAACAGCAGGGTGGTGCATGATGTATTCAGACCAAAATAGGAAGGGAAAAGTGCAAACCTGTAAACCAGAGTAACAGTGAGGATTTGGGATAACAGTGAAACTCTTGAAAAGGTAACATACTATACCATTTCATTCTTACCTTGTGCCCTGGTGGCTCCTTCTGTGTCCCCCTAAACATATCAAACACAGACAGAAATAAAATCAATTGAACTGTTAACATTAAAATGCTGATTTGTAGGTGATAGACAAATACCTGAATTCCACAGTGTTTCCAGATGATGCAGACTGTTAGCAGCCATATCCACAATACAATTGAAAAGTTCATTTTGCTCTTTGGTGTCAATTTACTATTCAAAGCCTTTTCAGTTAAACTTTTTTATTAAGTTGCTAAATGATGTCAAGGCAGCCCTCTTGGTCAGAACAACTCCCTATCTTCATTTCCTGTCCAAGCAGGTGAATTTCATCTATTAGTTGATTGGATTTCCTGTTACTGCATGTTAGCATAAGTTCTGTCCAGCAGATGTAGCTGTAGCAGTACATATTTGGTCATTGTTCCCTTGTGCTGAGCCAGAGCATTGGAATTGTCCATTTTGAAATATTGTAATCTTTCTCATGATTCAGATGTATTTATGGGACTTTAAGTATTTGTGTGTGCATGTGTGTTTCTGAGGTAATTCTATTATTGTGTGGTAGGAGGGCTTATTAACCCATGTTAATCATCAGAAGTTAATATCTGAAAAACACTGACAAAAAATACATATAGCTATATATTACAGGATATGAATTGAATCCAACTCTTACAATATAAAAATAGACATTTCTACAGGGCAATAAAATGTATTCAAATGTTAAAGATAAAATATTTGCTTAATATTACTATTGTCATCTGCTTAGAACTCTTGGAGTCAACGTAAATGCAAAATGAAAAAACTCTTTTATAAATCAAATCCATTCATCATCATCATTGTTGAACAACATATGAAAGAGTCTGAATTGTCTTAAGTGTGGTGCAAGCACTGATAGGTGACAGGCCCTGAAGTGCTGAAAACGCAAAGGTGATGGAAATCAAGGGAGACAGTCAGATATGAGGACGAATAGGCCAATAGGGGAAGTCATTGCCTTGTGCATTTATTTATTGAATCAGTCAATTTTAATGGATCAGGGAAACAGCAACCAGTCAGACTCAATGAAGTGTGCAAAACTTTGTTGTTGATCATGGAAAGGAAGTTTATCCAGAGCTCTGTATCCTGGCTTTCTTGGGTTTGTAGAAATAAACGCCTTAAATGAGAGAAGTTGCAGGCTACTCCCTGCAAAATAAAAACACGTGCCGGTTTCAACTCATAAGAAACTCTAAAAAAAAATAACGTCAAATAATTGAAAAAATACGTTCCAAGTGCAAAGAGTACATTTGGAGCATTTTGGATGTACCAACAAAACTGGGATGATATCTTGATAATACATTGAAATTAAACAAAGAAAAAACTATGTAAGTCTGTAAAACACTTGATAAGAAATCCCACCAATGATCCTGATGCAATAAATTCAATTTTCAGGAACTCATGCTTAACAAACTTAGCTGCTGGACAACAGCATTGACCAATTTCTTAGAAATATAATTGATATTTATGTTATTTGTGCAGGAGGAATACAGTCTTCAGGAACCTTTTTCTTTTTTTAACAGTTTTTCTATTTACTACTTTACACCATTTCTGTTATAGGCTGATTTAAACCAATTAAAGCAAAAACAGACTGGAGCATTGTAATGTTTTCCTTTTATATACAGGGCTTAATATAGGTCATTTTTATTTCACCATAGTGAGATTTTTTAACAAGAATAGCCAATCACTAAAAACTGATTTTCAGCAATTAGATTTCTTAAGAGTCAAGCAGTATTTAGTTTTTTCTTATTATTCATGTTGAATTAATTCATGATTTTTAATTTTTACCTTGAGTTTATCTGTGTGCTTATTGCAGCTTTTGTTGAAAAGAGGTAGAGCTTTTTCTGGCAACTATTGGACAAGAAGTGAAGTACATCCCAAACTGATTGCTGTGTATCACAGGACAAAGAAACATGTGTGCTGTAAGGGTTCATCTAGAATCTGCTAATTAGCCCAGATTGCATGTGGACAGTGGGAAAAAGCCTTAAAGAGAAACCCAAGACCCCAGCCAAGATTTGCGACAGTAACTGAACTGCTTTTAAGTAAATGTACTGACAACCGCATCACAGTCCTTGACAACCTTTCCCTCCTAATTTGCAGCACTCACCCTTAAGACAATTATTGTAACCAGTTATATTTTGTGGACACATGTTGGGATACACTTAAGCAGGTGGATCGATTCGTCTGGTGCAAACTGCTCCAGTTATCTGATCATGCAGTAACATTTGAAGAAAAGAAAAAAATTTTGCATTGGAAGCTAAATCATGATTTTATACTCATACGAGAGTGCAACTGCTTTCTCCTCTTGCATCTTCTGGCTGACGTTTGGGGTCATTTTAATGTTTAAAAAGACAGAGAAGAAAGAAACTATTTAAAAATACTAACTTTATGAGTTTACTTAATTTAATTCTATCAGAATTGGTTAACATTTTGTTTGTGTTAATTGATGGACAGAGAATCATAGCAGAAAAGTAAATAAAAGGTTGATGATTTACATTAAGTGGGGCGGCACGGTGGTGTGTGGTGGTTAGCACTGTCGCCTCCCAGCGAGAGGGTTCTGGGTTCGACTCCCGGGGGAACCAGGACCTTTCTGGGTGGAGTTTGCATGTTCTCCCTGTGTCTGCGTGGGTTCTCTCCGGGTTCTCCGGCTTCCTCCCACAGTCCAAAAACCTGCATGTTAGGCTGATTGGAGATTGGGGAAATTGCCCTTAGGAGTGAATGTGAATGTGAATGTGAGTGTGAGTGTGAGTGGTTGTTTGTCCTTGTATGTCCTGTGTGTGGCCCTGCGATGGACTGGCGGACTGTCCAGGGTGTACCCTGCTTCTCGCCCGTTGACCACTGGGATAGGCTCCAGTTCCCCCGTGACCAGGGAATAAGCGGTATTGATAATGGATGGATGGATGGATTTACATTAAATCGATTTTTATTATTTAATTCCTATTTCTTAATGTTGTATATAGCCATGACTGTGGATATTGTTTGGCTGCAGGACAACTTCATCATCTTACGTTTTATGCATGGCATACCAGCTCTAGCCCTGTTTATAGAGTGTATTTTTTACTGCTCTTTCTTAATTAATTTTTTCTTTAAAGACTGGTATATAAACTTGACTATATATATACATATACACCTACACAGGCACACTCTCACACTTAGAATTTTGATGTGACATTAAAGCCACCTTGACCATGACATTTGTATTACAACAGTGGTGTCACAGCACAAAGCTGGATGGGGAGCCAAATTCTCTAGAGTTACTTTATTATAATTAATAACCCTTTCCAAAGTTGGACATTTTGCCATCTTAAGAGAAAAATGTATTTACATTGTAAACGGTAAAGTACAGTATGTCCAAAACATCTGTAAAAAACTTCCATTTCTGTATCATGTTGTTCAAGGAGATCAAACAGAAAAGAGTGATAATTTGCACTTTACAAGATAATATGCACAGACAACCACTGTGTTATCCATGTTTCAGGTATGGTTAACAATTCTGTTGATGCTCTCCTGGATGTTTGCCATCTTCTTCAGTACCTGGTCCACTTTGACTTCATCAAATTCCAGACACAGAAACTCATTCTGAAACAGATGGTACATGGATACAAATATATGATCAGTGTTCATATGTTGGGATATCTGTAAATTAGAAGTAAAAAAAATATATATACATGAAAAGGGCTGCATACACACTGTTACACCACATCTAATAGTGGTGTTAATAACTTGATGGCCAAGTTTGCTATTTCAAAGGTGATGCTATGCATTCCTTACTTTTGTTTGCGAGTGCGTACCTGCATACCAGTTGTATGCAACAATGTATACACGTATATATATTTATGTGAGCATTCTTAAAAGTTACTCAATGTTACTGTCACTTTGTGCTTGACTAAAACTAAGTTTGTGCTTGAATTACTCTTACTTTTTCTGCTCTAACAAGCTCCATCTCGATGAGGACGACGGGGCGGCTGTTGTCCGTGTTCCCACAGCTGTCAACAACTTGGAGGTCAACCCTCCAGAAGAGCGCTTTCAGGCTGGGCTCCCAGCGGCTCTGACCCAGCAGGCTTTCCCTCACCCGAACCCGCTGGTTTTTCCAGAAGCGAAATATGGCCGCAGTCTGTTCGACACTCATTCCACCTCCTCCCTGCTTCTTGGTCTGAGCTGTTAGGAAGGCTTCGAGCTGGGCGTGATCCATGTCTGCTCTTGCAATAGACTAAAGGATGACGAAAGAGAGCAGGAGTTTGATTACTTGGGTAAACTACAAAACGAAAACCTGGAATTTCCCAGCTGAGATTCTTTACACACACACACACACACACACACACACACACACACACACACACAAACACACACACACACACACATATATATATATATATGTGTATATGTACATATATATAGAAATATATATATATATAAATACATATGTATGTGTGTGTGTGTGTGTGTGTGTGTGTGTGTGTGTGTGTGTGTGTGTGTGTGTGTGTGTGTGTGTACATACATATATAAATAGCATAGCTTTATTTAGCATTTTGATGTTATGTTTATGCATTTAGCAGACGCTTTTATCCTGCTCAGTTACGTTAGCAATTAATATGCTTTTGAGCTTCTTAACGATGGTTACAAACATGGGTACGGCATATTTTCAATTTCCGTTCAGTGTACTACCTTTAAAAGTCCTTCAGTTTTTTCGTATAAAACATTAAACTCCTCCTGCGTCATTTCGGGGTAAAACTTTTCTTTCAGAAGGTCTTCTGTGATTTCGTTGTTGTTGAAATAGATTTTCTGAGCTATTCCATTCAACAGACATCCTAAAGACTTTGTTGCTTCTGGGTCCGACATGTTTTCGTAGGTTTAGTCACTTGATCGGAAGAGGTTATGTCACGTGAGAGATGGCGCAACTAGGCTTTGTGGGAGTTGCAGTTTGACCGAAATTCTCTTTTGGACTGATTGGTTGCAGCTCTTTGCTTGACTTTTTAAAAACTGTTTACTGTTTAATTATTTAATAGGGTAGCCTCAGTATGAAAATAAATATACAAAGAGTCTAGAAACAAACAATACAAAAATTAAAACATAGAAAAAACATTCATATCAAATTTGCAGGGGGGACAAAAAGTGGTTTGGCCTGTGTGGATTACTCAGAAATCCGTTTTCCACTACATGAGAGGATATTTAGAAAACAGTCCCATAGACATTTTCTTCTTGCTGGTAACGTTATTGATGTGTGTTTCTAAATCAGGGTTGGGAAACTTTTTAACTTGTGGGCCACCATGACCTCTAAAATTTAACAGATGAGCTGGGCAACGGGCAGACAGATTTAACGTTTCTGTGGACTCATACGAATAAAATGTAAAATAATTTACATAATTTATTTGAGTTTTTAACCAGTAACAAAGCATTAATATATCAGGCTGTCACACAGTGGATAAAGTCACGTTGAGTTTCTGGTCGAACAGTGTTGTTGGAATCCCTTTTTTGCTATCAAAGTTTGAGATTAGTTTAGCTGTGGCAATTCTCAGGAAAGACCTGGAGTGTTGGTTCTGTGGCAAGCTTTGTTGATGTTCATGACAGCCAAACAATACCACCTTCTATGCCCACCTCTGAAGGTTTGGAATCTTGGATTCTTCAAGTGATGCATAAAAGTCCTTCAGTTTATGAGAGTGGACCTTCTTCTTTAAGACTGAAATAGACTGAAGATTACCTCCAAAAATATGCTAATTTTCTTTTTAGCTGCTGAGTTGTCAATTCAACTTTATACTGGGTTAGGGTTAGGGGACTTTGCACCGGAAAAAATGAACAATTGTATCTTTCCAGGCTCCAAGATAATCTCACTCAAGTTGAATTCCTGTTCATGTATTGTTTTCCCCTGCTATGGATTCTGATTTACAATGATATCAACATACAGAGATTGAGCTAAAAGTTAAAATAAAAAGTAAAATGATATAAACAATTATGCTAAAATGTGTGCTTATAAAAAAACTGGGTATAACAAATAAGCCTTTGACCTTTAGCATTATGTTTGTAATTTAATCTTGAAACAGAAGATGTGTGTTCAGGATATTTTGCCAGAGGACAAATAGTTGGCCAAACTCCAAGAATTAGATGCTAACCAACAGATGTTTAATTTGTTATGTTATGATATGCAACATCTTGGAACTTAAAATGTTGTAATTTTTTCAGACTGTATCACAGCTACCCACAAAAGCTCAACAGTGTTAATCAATGATCATTTTAAAGTTAAACTTTGAAAGTAAAAGAGGCACCTTTAAGTGAAGGTAATATTCAAGGACAAACTGGGGCACTGACAGCAGCTTATACTTCATAAACCCTTGGACAAAAAGAAAGTAACTTTAAAGAAACAGTACATTTCTCTTATGCATGTTGTGATTTCCATTGGCTTGTGTCAATAAATATTATGCTGCTTTCTTAACTTTAATAATGCCAATATGATAAGGATGTAATTTTTGTCCATAAAGATTTTAAAAGAACTAGTATGATCCGTTCATTCATCCACTTTCGTAACAGCTTATCCACTAACGGTGTCACGAGTGGGACTGGAGAATAACCCAGTAGTCAATGGGCGAGAGGCGGGGTACACCCTGGACGGTCCACCAGTCCATCACAAGGCCACACAGAAACGCACAAGGATGAACAACCACACCCTCAAACTCACTCTTAAAGGCAATTTGCAATCAACCGAACATGCAGGTTTTTGGACAGTGGGAGGAAGCTGGAGAACACGGAGAGAACCAACGCAGACCCCGGGAGAACATGCAAACTCCACACAGAAAGGTCCTGGTTCCCCAGGGACTCGAACCGAGAACCCTCTTGCTGTGAGGCTATGATGCTAACCACCACACCACCGTGCCACCCAACTTGCATGATAAAGCTGAAATAATGTGAGAATTTGTAAATTTTACAAAAAATCTCTGTTTTAATAATGGATTCCTGCTTCTCACCCTCACCATTGTTAAACCAGTATGGATGGAGTCTTGACAAAAAAATAAATCTACTTTGAATGTATGTAGTCCTTTTTTAAAAAATAAACTTGTAATAATGCTCCCTCTAATAAATAGGTGATTAAGACCAGCTGGATCTGATAATTACCCTAATGGATAATTGGGCTGTCTTTTTAACATTAGAACATGTTGCTCTGACAAATAAAATTTTATGCATTAAGACATCCATCCATCCATCCATTATCAATACCGCTTATTCCCTGATGGGGTCGCGGGGGGAACTGGAGCCTATCCCAGTGGTCAATGGGCGAGAGGCAGGGTACACCCTGGACAGTCCGCCAGTCCATCGCAGGGCCACTGCATTAAGACATTTTCATGGTAATATAAAAGAGATACTTATTCACTATTAAATCATATGGGCTACAATGAATTGTCAGGGAAACTTAAAAAAAAACTCACTGAGAGTCTTCTTTACTAAGATTAATGAAATGATGCAGACTGAAAAGTCACCACTAAATGACAAGGGCTGAAAAGGACAGCACAAAATAATCAATATGAAACAAAAAAAAATTGTGAATGTTTAATGAATAAATTGATTTTCAGCTTATTGATAGATTAACACCATCTAATTATCACGCGTTCACAAACAATTTTCATTTGGGTTAATAATATTCTGAACCTTATCACCTGACTATGATATTTTGGCACCAAAAGTCATTCATCCATGACTCGTCCTGATCACTGAGGTTGTACTTCCGTAAAAATGATGTTGGCCGGGAATTACACTATAAACACACATCCCTGGACCAGTCCACAACATAAATATTTCCAATATCCACAGCTATGCTGGCATCAGCATATTACTGAAATTGATATTTTCATAAATAACTCTTAATCAACCACATACTTGGATATTATCTCAATATCACGTATTAACCACAATAACTAGGTTCAGATTGGTTTATCTCTGGTATCACTTACACTTTGAGTTACCTAACCAAAAACTGAGTTAACCAACAAGTTAACCAACAATTACCTAAAAGTTCATACAGTGAAGAATCCTACCCTCCACTAACATTTAACCACAATAAATGTTACATCAAAGAGTTAAAAAAATGATTACCTCAAACTTGAATACATACACATACAGAGTTGTGTATCACCAACATCATACTGTTTTATTAAAAAACATTTAGCTTAAAGTTTGATAATTTTTCATTCTAGATGGAAGTGCCATGCTTAATAAAAGGCAGACAACAAACAATAGTAGTAGATTTACAAAAGGCGGCAGTTTTGGTTGGTTTTTGCTTTGATTCCCTAAACAAGTATATCATTAGATTTTCTGAATTTTCTGAAACAACTATTGATCATCTTGATCCCTGTGGTTATTCCACTGTCTGACAATAATTTAAAACAATCAGTGTCCACAGTAGTAATTTATTGAATTAGATCAGAGCCATCATTTTTGTTCCTAAGTTAAAAATATTTTAATCAGAAAGTCTTTTTTTTTGTTTTGGGTGTTTGGATGTTCTCTCCCTGTCTGTGAGGGTTCCCTCTGGATACGTCGACTTCCTCCCACCACCCAAAAACATGCGTGTTAAGCACCCTGGAAATTAATGTTAGTGTGGTTGTTTGTTTATGTGTGGCCTTGTGATGGACTCACCTCTTGCCCGATGTCAATGCGTTATTATCAACAATTAATAAACTGATAAAAGTCTGTGTCTGATGTTGGCCAAGTGTTGAACATGGCCAATGGCGAGTGGAAGCAGGAATAGTTTAAACACATTGATGTTTAATTGTTTTTCACAGAGATGATTCCTTTTGAAAACACTACAAGCTGATTTATTTCAAAACCAAGCAGGGGGTCTCTCTGTGTGGAGTTTGTGTGTTTTCCACGTGTATGTATTTCACAGTCCAAAAACAAATTTCCCATAGGAGTCAATTTGAATGTGGCTACCTGTCCAGTGTATACCTCACCTCTTGCCCAATGACAGCTGGGATAGGCTTTTGAACTTCCTACTGTTCCCATTTAAATTGAAAACGTATATATCAGGTTGGATTATCTTTCATATCATGTTTCCTTGTAGTGATGTCACCAACTAAATGCCAGCCTTCATTAAAAGCTTTCATTTTTTGCTGTTTCCTCCGTCGTTAGCAATGATGCATTCATGTTCCACAAACGAAAAGCTTTAGGAGTGCTGTCCTTAGCTATTTGCGTCCTGAAAATCGTATTAAGGGACTAGACCGACTGCAGCAGTCTGCGTCTGAGCGTGTGCATTCTGTAAGTAGGGGTGGAGGTGCGTTAGACACGACTGAGGCGCAGGACGACCTAAAAAGTCGGAGCTGCAGCTCGGCAGAGTCGTCTCTCGTTTCGTGGTGAACCTGCCCGTCTCTCCTTTTTATCTCTACTTTTCTCCCTGTCAGGCTGGTTCTGGGCGCCATATTTTCCTGAGGAGACTTCATTTATCCGTTTAAGTCCACATAACTCCGGTGGAATAATGCTGACGTTGATGACGTCCATGTATCTGGTGGGGCGGGCGGTGTTCCCGCAGGTGAGTTGGAAAAAGCAGCGCATAGCCGTTTGATTTTCGTGACCACTGTGCTGTGGATACGTTCTCGAACGCACCGTAATAGACGAATTTCGAGGCTAAATGTCAGTCCTAGGCCGATATAACACATTTTATTTGATCTTCCTGGGACGTTTATGTCTAAATTTGGTCATTCAAGCGTCAGTGAATATATATATGTATATATTATACATGTAGTAACATGTATCATGTATGTAACATGTATCATTCCACGATGGTGGAATGACCTCCCATGCACTTCAGGAACAGGGGCTGACCCTGTCCATCTTCAGAGAACATATCCTACCCCAACTCTTACCCTGTACCTCCTCACCGCTCCGCTACTCTTCCTGTACTTCCATCTCTACACTATCACCACTACCTCTAACAATATCTGACTAGTAGCTAATGTTGTACCTGTCCTTGTAAGTCACTTAGGATACAAACTTTTGCTAAATGCATATATACTATTCTTAATACTTGTTCAGTAAAAACAAAAACTACTGTCTATAAAACCCCAAATCTTTTATATCCTTTGCTTTGTACTTGAACGATACATTAAAGTTAGAACAAGTTACTAAAATACATCATTTATCTAAACACTTAAAATCAGCTGTCAGCAGAGTTTATTGTATCTGTTGTTTATTTTATCTTCCTGAGAAATTACAAAATAATGAGTAAAAAAAGTCTGAATAGATACAATGATATCATATTTTTGTAGTCTGCACAAAATTAAATAATAATCACTATGATTACTGATTTAAAAAACAACCTCCGAAATTAGGTAACTTTTTGGATGTTGAAAGTGCATGCTAGATGTTTTTTAAAATAAAGAATGATCAAGTTTATTTAACAGTATTTCTGCTTTTATAATGAAATGTGATGAACAACACTTCCTGCACTGTGACTTGTGCTGCACAAGAATCTGCTGCGCCAAGGTCAGTTCCTGCTCGGGATTCAGCAAAGCTGAGCTGTTTTAGCTGTGTTTGACTTTCAAGAAGCTGAATCCAACAAATAGTTCAGATATCCAACATGGCTGCCTGTGACCTTGATAGGTTTATATGCCAACCTATCAAGGTCTTAGGATTTGGCTATAATTACTCACTTTAGCATAGTATGCTATCATATAATCTATGTAAATTACTGATTGTATTATTACTTTTAGAACTATAGTTTTGTGTTAAATTCTCTGGCTGTAACCACAGATTCTCTTTTTCTCTCAGTTAAATTATGCACATGTCATTAGGTCAACCACACACACAAACTTAGTTACCACATTCCAAGGTTACCTGCATTAATTAGGACCTAGCCGGTTAAGGGTTAGGGTTAGTAAATAACTGGCCAATAAGCACTCAGTCGTGTCTAGTCCTTTTGAGAGGTGTGCCCAGCCCCACAGATAAATACCCATGACACACAGAGTTCGGGGCTCTTTGCTGACTGAGACCCTGAGAGAGGTTTTGTCTGTGAAGAGCCCAGCACTGATATACTTTACCTGTGACCTAATAAATGTCAAATTTTTACTCTTGATCTACTCTGGCTTATTCTCAGGTTTCCAACTAAAGAATCGGGCTAACAAAGGTCAATATTGACAATACATTTATACAATCATGTCTACAATAGACATGATTGTAAGTGAAAATGTTAATTGACCTCCTTCCTCTCCTCAATCTACTTGTTTATACTACGTGAGCAGTTATTTTTTATAGAATTGTGTACAGTTTCAACTCTTAAGTTTGTGAATGTTGGATCTTTGCAGCAGACTAAGATTAGGTGTCTCGTGGAGATTTCATCCATTAGATGATAGGCAAAATCATACACTTTTTGACATATTATCGTTTCAACTGAAACAGAATCTGTTTTGACCCTTGATTTCCTGAGTGCTGTTTGTCATCTTAATGTTGTCCGAATATATTACTTATTTTCTTGAGCACATGAAAGTGTTGTGCGTGGATTTCACTTCTACCAGGTGTAATGTGTGCCAAATGTAAATGTAACTGCTCAGTTTTGACACTTATATATTTTCCACATTTATGTAATTTTCTTAACATTTAGTTCATTTTACATGCGTCTGAGGCATTTAAAAATATGGTTATAATTTCATGTAAATTAGATGTTAAATCTAAATGTAAATGTTTATTCTGAATGCAAATATTAAATCTAAATGTTAAATGTAAATGCTACATGTACAAGTGTAAATATGAAATCCAAATGTTAAATCTAAATCTTAATGAATTAATGAATTGATTAATTAACTTTGTTTAGACAAACCTTGCATGGAGAAGAGAACAAAGAGAGAAAGACAAAATGAGCTATGTGTGGCGGCTAAAGAAGATAAATCTACATACACTGTAACTTATGTTTTTATGGTGTTGCTTGTGCCTGTTTTTTACTTTGACCATCTCTCCAAAGTTCTTTGCACAGCCTTGTTTGCTGGTGTGCTTGGGATCATATGTGTAAAATTAGGTGTTGGTCTCCACTTTTAACTCAGAATTTAGTAAACCGACAAGTTCATGGCTATATTGCAAGGTGGCCAGCAATCTCAGTCTACCACCATGCTCAACAGATGTTTGATTTTTCTAAATGCCTCTAATTTGGAAAACTTTTGGTATTGGTATTTTGGTGTTGTGGCTAAACATCTCAACTTGGATTCAATTTAAAGGTACAGTAAAGATTTAAAAAATGCATCAACAAAGTTATTAAAAGCATTTTAAAGAATTTAGGCCAGTTTAATCAGATTCTAACCAAATTAAATCAAATGAATGAAAACTAAAATAAGTATAACTTGTATCATGCCATACCGTGACTCCGTTGGAAAAAGTCTAACTTGTATTATGCCATACCAAATCCATCATGTGGAATACAATGCTGTGGTGCCACTTCTTAGACCTAAGCTTTGTTAGGTGAAAAGCAAGGTGATGTCCACCCCTCCCATTTCTGGTCCAACCTATACTTGGGCATGCGCATCCACTGCTTTGTTTTGTTTCTTGTCCCATCTTTGCACAGACACTCTGCTATTAGCTGAGACAAAGGTTAAGAGGAATGTGACGACTGTCATACCATTTAACTGCTCAGGTCCTCAATCATGCTTAGTTTCTTTTTCTTCAAATGTCCCCCCAGCCTTTCTGTTTCATCGCCAGATCTGAGAAGAAGCTGCATCTTGCCAAGCGATTTTGGGGCAATTTCTCAACACAGTGGATCTTTTTCTTCTCAAAATGACTTGGAGATCCATTCTGGTAGTCCAGTTATCAAAAAAGCCTTTTGGGACTGGTTCCTTGGTACGATGCTTGCAAGTTGTACAATGACGTGGCCACTTGCACCGATGTCTGGCATTCCATCCATTGGCAAGATTGCACCAGTTTACAGCTCAAACTTGTGGGTGAGACCAAGTGTTGCCTGTCAAGACAAACACTTTGTAACCCCAGTGCTCTGGTTTTTGGGAGTTATACTGTTTGAGACTACCCTTTCCATTGAACGGCATGAGTTGTTCTTCGGCGCACAGCCTGGTTTTTTAAGCTTTCCTGCAGTGAAAGTAGGGGATGTACCTTAAACAGCTTGTCGTAGCCAGGATGTCCCCTGGTGATTCGTTCCATGTTGATTGCAAAATAGAGGTTGCGTTTTATTGCCTCCCTGCGATGCATGGCCATCGTTTTATCTACACATTCCACCTCTTTGTGGCTGTGTTCCAGCACATCTGAGATCCTGGCAGCCCAAAAATTGACACATAAAAGCAAATTCCCCAAAATTGCTCCATCTCGTCATAGATAACATACAGTGGTTTCTCTTGCTGGCATGCAAAGAAGTTAGCTTGCTCCACCATGTTCTTTAGGCAGGCCTTACTAAGCAATTCCCTGAAATACTCGGTGGCAGACTTCCAGTCTGGCTTGGGGCTCCTGCTTTTCTCAGCCTTTTTAGGTGCTTCCCATGGAGGATGTGGACCTAGAAAACAAACAAATAACCTTATTATGTTATGAACCAGCCAAAACGTAATGCACCACATAAATAATAGTTACACTTTTACCCACATTGAACGGTAACTGGACTTTCACCCTCACTGTTCTCCCCGTCCTCACTGTCTCCACCTTCCTCATTCACCGGCTTATAGTGTTTATCATTCTCACTGTATCCATAATCCTCACTTTACAGGCTGGGTTACAAGCTGCTTGTTTTCTACATCACTAAATCCTAGTTCATCCTCACTACTATCTACAGGAAGTGCTAGTATGGTTTTCTTCCGTAAGAAACTATAAAACATTGTTGAATTCATTTTGTAAGTGGGAGAAAGGAGTGTCAAATATAGTCATGTGCAAAACCGAGAGGAATCACAATATGCATTCTTATAACAGACTCTAGAAGATCAGTGCATACCATCAACATGTTGGGCTAGCAATACAATTGTGGTCTTAATGGTACAGTGTTACCATAAGGCAACATTCACATTCCAACAGTTTAACATTATAAAATGATCAAATACAGTGCACTAAACCACAGAAAAGTGAGCTTACCTTAGTTATTGAGTATATATTTTTCCCCCATCAACAAATGCCATGAAAATATTTATAATGATGATTTCTGAGGTGTGAAATGGTGAGGCTCTACCTTGTGAATAGGTCTGCAGAATAGGGCATCAAAATTCCCTCAAGAAAGTCATGTGAGAACTTCAAACACTGCTAGTGGTTCTGTTAGGTGCTGTTTATTTATATGGAAGGAATTCCATTAGTTTTTCACCAAATGGCAACACTCTACCATGGACGGATAAATTCAGCTACATTTGGAATTAGTTTGTCATGAAACACAATGTCATTTTTGGTTAAAAAAAAACACAAAAAAAACAGACAATGTATCAAATCATATTAGTCATTAAACACTTTAGTAGAGGACTTAGGATTTTAACTTGTTTTGAAACCAAGTGCCTGTGATTAAAAACTCAGTCCAACTTAGTATTTTGAGGTCAAAGGTGACCCATAGAGAATAGGAAGACCATCAAAAAGGAAGAAAAACTGCCTGCTGATTGCAGGCAATATAAATTAAACTACTTTAAATCAGAACCACAAAATGTATTCACAAATATGTCTGATTACTATTACAGTATTGACTATATTTTAAGATTGTGCTGCAGTCTTGACAGGACACTTGGTTTTTATATTATTTTCACCAAAATAAAAAACAAAAAGAAAAGCAAGCCAAACCAATCAGCACTTTGTGTCACCCAGGTTCTAAAATGTCAGTGAGATGTGAGAGAAAGTCTGTGATTTTAATTGTTTGTCAAACATTCTACTCGATAGATATGATTACAAATATGAATTTACAGACATGATTTGGTGAGAATTTGATATACTGTAGGAGAAAAAATAAACAGCTATTGGATAAGCCTGAAGGCAGGTTGTTAAATTAGGCCATAGCAGTTGGCAAGTGAATTTATTTACGAATGGAAAAGAAAGTTGCAGAATAACTGGTAAAGCAACTGTTCTTTGAGGGTCGTTCTATGGCGATGTAAGGGAGTGACAAGTTATGTTCAAAGTTGCTTTTCCTGGTAGCAGTTCCTTGAAACCTTTCCCTGCAGTACATCGATTTAATGAAAAAGACCAAATAAATGTATAAAGGAGCCTCTTGGCACTTATAGATACATGTCACTGAATGTTAGTTGTCTGCAAGGTACCAACTATGGTTAAATAACAATCTGGCACCAAACATTTCAGAAACTAGAACATAAGAACAGGAGCCAACAGGACAAATCCCATGAATAGGCAAAAAGAAACAGACAGTAGAAGGCTGCCTCTCATCCAAAGAAATTACATACATTCAGAAAATACATGAACCCTGACACTAGAAAATAGTTTCTGCTTTTTGAAGAACATAAATATCTACTTCTACTAAGAGTTAGATAAAGACTGTCTTGTCTGTGCATTGTCACTGTCTTGGTTGGAAGGTTACTTGCATTGACCAAAATGGTGAGACACGTTAGTACTGTACTTTCACAATACCAAAAAATCCAGAATTGAACAGGGGACATTTGGCAGATTTTGAAAGATGATGCTTTGACAGTCAAAGTCTGAAATGCCATGACGAGATCTTACACAGAGAGCTATACGCAAAAATCACAAGTCTTTAGCTTCTCTAAAAAGATGTGGGTTAAGCTGTTGAATAACAGGCTTTACTGTTTCTACATGCCAATTTGCATTTTGACCTAGTTTTAGGTAAGATTACATATTTCCAACCCTCTTTCAGGAAAAGATACATAAAACAGAATCCCTTTGTGGGTTCTCCATTGAACTCCAAGTCTACAGGAAAGTTTTCTGATTTAATTTTTTGTGGCTTCATAAAACTAAACTAAAATTAAGCAAAACATAAATTTAAGTAACTATCAGTCTTTGCCAAATATATTTGGCAACTATAGGAGCATTATTAAACAGTATGCTTTCATCTTGATAGTTCAGGAAGTGGAAGCTAAAAGACCTACTTTTCATAGTGTAGTCCTTTACACAGTGAGACTTGAAGTTCACATCAATGAGATTAAGCCATCAAGCAGGTTACAATTGTAACAGGATCCGAGAACGGAGACAGGACACAGATGCAGGGATAAAGTAGTAACTGGTCTTTATTGATTCGCACTCCAAAGCAGAGATAAATCGTCAGGCTATGAAATGTTATTTTCAACAAAAAGATCTCAACAGAGGGGACAACAAGCCTATGAAAGGTATCCAGTAACAATACTTGCTCTAAAAGGCAGAGGATATCTATTATATAAAATTTACCAAAATAATACTCTCCTTTAATGAAGGCAAGCTAAAAATATGAAAAGTTATCTCGAAACCAAAATTACTCTTCTATAAACTAAGAGAAAAGTTTAGGCAAAAATAGTCATCAATATGGGTCTATTATAATTAATGGGTCTGTAACAAGGGCTTCTTCTAACAACTATTACCACGGATTTAAAATCAATAAAGTGAAAGTATTTGGCATTTGTTTGTAGATCGGGACTGGGCTGCCTTAGGTACCTTAAAATCTACACAATACTCATGTCTCTTAAAGCTTGGATAAACCGACAGCCAAACTGACAAATGAACATGAATGTTTGTGATTAATAGTTATATGGGCTGTGTGATAAAGAATTTAGAGAGAAGTGATCTACATCAATCTACTGCTCCTCACAAAGCACTCACAGTCATTCAATTGACTAAGTTTCTTTGTTTTATCAATAAATTGTCTCTGCTTACCAAGTCTCTTTAACTCTTCCATCTTAAAAATGTTTTTCATATGCTTCATTTACTTAGGGATCACCAAATTTCACATGAATTGCCTCAAAATGCAACATTATGGTAATATTTTAAACATGCCACTTACATGTCACTCGTTTATGTGATATATTCGTATCATTAAGTCACTTGCAGTCACACAGCTAGAAGTTCTACTGCAGTACAAGTGTTGCAATTCCGCCAACAGCCACAAGATGCCGCTAATATACAGTGTAGAGATGCTGAAAAAAAAAAACACTTTTCAGAAAATCGTCAACCATTTGTTAGAGAAATGGGGGCGGTTTGAGAAATGTGGTGCATCATGGGAGACCGTGTTCTTTTTTATCAATTTGCTTGACGTCAAAATAGGGCATCGATGTACAATTGGACTACAAGTCCCGTGGCTAGTCGAAAGCGGTAGTTCACCGCCCAACTTCACAATACACAGGCTAGAGGTGACCCATTCCGTCTCTGGTCTTGTCCATCTCCGAGCAGGTAGAACGATCGAAGCCGAAGGAAGTAATCACCAAGCTGTAGCAAATATGGTAAGAATGCTTGCTAACAATGTAATAGATGACTGTGAGCATATAAATATATATTTTCTCTATCTTTCAACGTATTTTTATCTTAATTTGGTAATTTTGCTATAACGGTTATTACTATTTGACACTGAAATACAGGCAACATAATCAAATCTCACAGCTGATATTTGCTTTTGCTGCAGTTATGTAGATGCAGCACTCATTGTTCCTCACGGAAAGGTCAAGGACACACTTGCAAATACGCAGTTTGTTGCGACCTTGCAGCGTGGAAATGCGAAAAGGTCGTTAAATTGAAACTCAAAGACGCAACGTTAGCATCACATTCGGGCGGTGTAGGTTTGTAGATGAAACGTTAGCATCATTCGCGAGCTATGCAGGTTGAGGCTTGGATAGAGTTTTACTTGCAAGTCGACGTAGCTGCATCTACCGATCGCATGACGCGTGACGTCAGCGTCAAATCTCATCCCTGGACCTTGTGTTTGGTCCGTCAGAAACCACCTCTTCCTGTGTTGCCTGCATCCACAGTGGCGCTCTATTTTTCAATTGTTTTCCCTTTCATCTGTCATTAAATTGATTTAAAGATATGTATCTGTTGTTTGAACAATTGATTTTCATGTATATGATTTCTAAAGTTTAAGATCAACATAAATGACTAATATATTCAGGCTTGAATGGAAGATCATCTTCATTTGTTCAGAAAATGTAACCGTTGTGCGACAGGTCGTCATCATGCAAAGAACAGACTTGCACAGCAGGAACCTCCAATAAAAGCCTTATAAACCCATTGCCTAATAGTTAGAATTCTTTTTTTTTAATAAACACTCCATTACTTGGTGGGACAGAATTGGGGTACGTTTATTTCTCTTTTGATATTTGAAAATGAAGAATTTCATATTTTCCCCCAGACTGACGTAATCCGTGTTGTGGTGACTGGTGCCGCTGGGCAGATTGCCTACTCTCTGCTGTACAGCATTGCAAAGGGAGATGTTTTCGGAAAAGACCAGGTAAGACTTCTAACAGGCTTCAGTTTTGTAACATTATCAAAGTTAGCACATGGCAGCAAAGTTCTGTGTGTATCTCTTATGTAATAAAACAATTACAAACTTTGTACTTGTCTGTATCAGATTCTTATGCACACTGTGCAACTTTACTTTGCCATTATCTTTGAGATAAAAGAAAAAAAAGTTGTTTCAAAATAAGACATCTAGATACAACCCTCCCACTGGAAATATTCTGGGTCATAAGAGATGTAAGTTTAGAGGGAGGGGGGTTCTTTGAATGAGATGTGGTTCTAATCAATTACGAATGAGTAGCTTGAGATTTTGAGGTTTGGCTAGTTTAGAGCTTTTAAAACAATGATTTCAGGACAGCGTTTTATTTGAAAGTCAGTGAAAGGAGTCATTGTTCTAACAGCCGATAACTTTTGTTATCAACATCAACATCTGCTTTATATTAATTCAGCTGTGACATAAAAAGGTGTTATACACACTACTGAGTACCTGACGATAGATTTAGTACTGTTGGTCTTTCTCCTCTGATTATCCAACTCTGATCAGTTTTTCTGTCTGCTGCCTCTACAATGAAAAATGTAAATTATTTAGCATGCTGCTGACATCTTTGGTCTCCGTCCTATCATCAGCCGATTGCTTTGATCCTGTTGGATATCCCCCCGATGTTACCAGTGCTGGAGGGAGTCGTCATGGAGCTGCAGGACTGTGCCCTCCCTCTACTTCGGGGTGAGCCCTCACTGTGTACCCTAACATTTATCAGTTTTCCTTTTTCTTCTTTTTTCATACTAGGATTCAATCCAGGGTGGTGGTGGGGCATATCACACAAGAGTTTGGGCCAAAAGTGGTGTAGACCCATGACAGATTACTCTTCCATCTCATGGCCATCACAGATACAAATAAGACAAGAAACCTCTCACACTCCCAAGATAAATGTAGAATCAACGGTTAACCAAAAACATGTTTTTTTTTACTTAGAAACTGATGGAAGAAAGACAAAAAAGTATCCACATAATGTTTATCTTCTTATTTTGAAGTTTTCACCTTATATTTGAAGTTTTGCAAATGAGAACTATTCATCAATTCATGTAGTTTCTTGTTAGTGCAGGATAGAAGGATAAATTAAAGTAGCGCAATTTGACAAGAGAAGTGTATCCGCATTGCTAAAGAGATAAAATGTAGAAACAAACTGGGTTTTATACGAAAATCAAACATTTGGGATGTATCACATTGATTTGTTTGAATTTGGAATACAATACACAGTGTGTGTGTGCATGCAAGTGGTATTTGTCCTTCAGAGGATTAGTGCGTAAATCTTCTGGTCTGCTGCTGCGTGGCGGGACAAGGCGTGTCTAAAATATGGCTTTTGGTTGGCTGTGTTGTCTCCAATCGGAGCAGTTGTGGAATAACATAGAACAGGGCAGAAGTCTACCTGTTTAAAGTCCAGTCTCACATGCTAATAGTAAATACATCTTATCAATAGGATCAGTTGAAGTGGCATGGTACTTATCTTGAAGATAGACCTAGCTTTTGCAGAAATAATCTAAGATTGATAGTGATAGTGTGTGATTGAAAGTTAAAATAAAACATGCAGAGAAGAATATAAAGATAAACAACACAATCAGGATGCGGCTAACATAAAATGCACTCTGAAGTTCATAACCTGTCCCGTATCAGTATGCTTTGAGGAAATGATAGTCATGCAAAGCATTTTTCAACACTTCTGTTCCCCCACAGAGGTCATCCCCACTGACAAGGTGGAGGTTGGTTTCAAGGATATTGATGCAGCCATTTTGGTGGGCTCCATGCCCAGGAAGGAGGGAATGGAGAGAAAGGACCTCCTCAAGGCTAACGTGGCCATATTCAAGACACAGGGAGCTGCCCTTGACAAGTATGCCAAGAAGACCGTGAAGGTGATGCCTCAGACTTTAATTTCTTCTGATTTCATTGCTTGTTTTTCATGGATTTGTAGAGGACATGGACTAATTTTAAGGGGGCTGGGAATCACAGTGCTTACCCACACTCTTTCTCTTTGCTATAAGATATATTTTTTAAAGAAGTTAGTGGCAGATGACCCGCACAGGAAATAAAAGTGCTTACAAGGCAGGTCCCCTGGCAAGAAAAATGTTTTCTCTTACAAAGACAGCAGTTTTTTTCCTGCTAATAATCTAACAGTGTGTAGCTTCACGTTGGTGTTAAAGATCCAATTGTGTAAAAAAAGTAATTTAGCTGTGGACCCTTAATGACCCAATACCCTTTGTGAGTCACAACTTAGCTGTGACCAAAGAGGCCAAGTCTGTAGAGATTAAACTCACCAAGAAATCTGTGGAGAGAGTAAAAAAGTGGAACATTGATATTTTAAGTCGTTCTAAACCACTTATATTGAAAACATTTAATTTAACCCCTAAATGGGTCAGTTAGGTGAATAAAAACTTTTTTTTATTTTTTTAAGTTCTATATAGGGTCTGCAGAACAAAATGTGGTGTTGGATATGTTTTTTTTTTTTGGTCCAACAAACTAACTAATAGTTTTTGTTATTAAACGATGATTGCTTTAGCATCTCCCGGCATTAAAGCAACCCACTTTAAAACACCTTTTTCTATCACATACAGATGATTAAAATGACCACACTTTGGACCAGTCTAATCCAAATGACGTATGTCCAAATGAGACTTAAAAAACCTTGTTCATTACAATATTTAAGAGTGGTGAACACACTCTAATAAAGACGACTAATTGGGAAATCCTGTACTATTTCCAAAATGTCACTTTTCTGCAGTAAGTCAGATACAGAAGTCTGTAAGTGTACTTTCTACCGTAGTACAATTGCACTCATACATAAGATACCACCAATGTACAGTCTGGGAAGTATTATTCCATTGTTTTGTCGGAATTGTCTTTTTTTTATTGTGTTGAAAAGAATGGTGACAAAATTGGAAAGAAGAGCAGCAGCAGACATTTCATCTGGAGATGAAATATTTTGTGTCTGAGAAGTTAGAAAGAAGCTAAAAGTGTAGTACACTGGTAAAAATACAAAAGTTTCTGTTGAGCGTATGACAGAACCACTGCTGTCACGTTGAAAAGGAAATAGTTTCTTTGCCTCAACATTGTGATTAAGTAAATAACAGCTTTTTCTTACAAATTCAGAAAATCTGTGGTATTTTAGGGTGCAGCAGAATGTCCTTTTGCATACATTTGTAACATTTTTGTGTCCTTTAGCTTGCAAGAGAAGAGTTTGTTGATTGTTATGAACACTTGCTCAGAAATTCATGTCAATTTAGTGATATTTCTGGCATTGTGACTGAATGTTTGATAAAGCAAGGCTGTTGTCTGTCTTATAGAATTTTTTTACATTTTCATCCTGTCAGGTTTTGGTGGTTGGGAACCCAGCAAACACAAACTGTCTGATTGCTTCAAAGTCTGCTCCATCCATCCCAAAAGAGAACTTCTCCTGCCTGACCAGACTGGACCACAACAGAGCCTCCTCACAGGTACACACACGTTTTACTTCTGAACTGTTTTTCTTTTCGCACTGTTAGAAAAAACAGGCAAAATAACTCCCTCTGTAATGCAACCAGATATTTAACGAAAGTATGCCCCTCTTTCTTATCTTTTATAACCCCTCTTTTAACAATGGTTCAGTTACTTTATTATTTTTTGTATGATGTTGTTTTTGGGGGGGTTTTGCTTACCGCATGATAAAAAACTGCTGCTGATTAGGTCAACTAACGTTCTTGAGATAGAGTTTTCTTTTTTAAGAAACTCAGTACTTCATACCCTCATCAAAGCCTAATGCTTAGTGCGAATGGATTCTTATTGCAGTATGTCCTAGGGAGTTTCTCCTGCCATCTTTCTCTACCAACATGACTTTTTGTGAAATAGAACAGATTTTTCTGACTGTTCAAATTTCTTCCCCAGGATGTGGATTTATTTAAGTAGAACATAGTATTACAATAATTGCAAAGATAAGCAATGCTATTCACGTCACATCTCAGTGGTTATAGTGCTGTGGTTTGTTCGAGTATTTACTTAATTTAGATTGCCCTAATGTTTTAGCTGATGTAATATCACTGCGCTACATGACATGGTTCAATGTCTGCTCAGTATATAGCAGTTTTTTTTCTTATCGCGTATCTACACTTATGATGTATGCAACCCTTTTTTTCTTCATTGACACACTTGAGAGTATATGTGTTTGAATACATAGTTTCCCACTTGTATTTGTAAAGAACACCTGTGTTGTACTTATTTCTAATCTGCAGGTGGCAATGCGCTGTGGTGTGTCCTCTGACAAGGTAAAGAATGTCATTATCTGGGGTAATCACTCTTCCACTCAGTACCCCGATGTCCACCATGCTAAAGTAAACTTACAAGGCTCTGAGACGGCTGCTTACGATGCAGTGAAGGATGACGCCTGGCTCAGGGGAGACTTCATCTCTGTGAGTGCTTGTCCCATCACTTCAATATAAATAATAATGGTAATAATATAAGAAATTACGGTAGATACACCAGTGTTCTCCTTTTAAACCTTCTCCTCTTTTCAGACAGTGCAACTTCGAGGTGCTGCGGTCATCAAGGCCAGGAAGCTGTCCAGCGCCATGTCTGCCGCCAAGGCCATCTGTGACCACATGAGGGACATCTGGTTTGGCACCAAGGAGGTTGGTATGGACCATTGGACCAATCGGAACCTTTCAGTTTAACAGCCACAACAGCCACTGGCAAAAAAAAGAAATAGTTGCATTGCAGTATGCTAGTTAGGGATTGTATAAAGTGGCAATATTTGCTATTATATGCAGTTAGGAGTGAATTTATGTTGTTGCTGAACAACATACTTTTTGTATTTATTAGTAATAATTGCATTTAGTAAAAATATTGCATTTAGTAAAAAAAAGTTTAAAATATTATGCATTGGGTTCTAGCATTTGGTGTGAGAAAACTTAAGAGATGGGAGGAAATTTACAAAATTAATTCAGCCATAATTTACACAGATTGTTTTGTATCTTTTGCCCAACAGAATGAGTTTATTTCCATGGGGGTGTATGCTGGTGGAAACCCCTATGGCATCCCAGAGGACCTCATTTATTCCTTCCCTGTTCAGATCAAGGTGAGCAAATACAATGTTTGAAAACCAGTCCAAATTTTTTGTCATAAATAAACAGGTACTGTTGGGCCAGACAAAAAAAAACATTCTGGAGCCCAAAGGTGCTACATTTTTGTCATAACAAATAATTAATCAGGCATCACATAAGGGTGTGACACTTCTTCTATATTAACAAACTACATACATACTACATGGAATTTAAATTTATTGTGCTGTCTTTTTTCTGTGGTTAATTTAAGAATTAATAGCCTTTATAAATTAAGAAGCATTTTGGATTGCTTAACCTTTTGAGATATTTTACTTGCAATTCATGTAATCACTTAATCAAATAAAATCCAGGAACAAACTTGTGGTATTAAATACACCTCAAAGCTGATTTTTTAAATTATTTTTTAATTTTTCCCATTTGTTGTCATTTATAGAACAAGACCTGGAAAGTGGTTAATGGACTCTCCATTAATGACTTTTCCCGTGCAAAAATGGATGCCACAGCCGCAGAGCTGGTTGAGGAGAGGGACACCGCCATGGACTTCCTGTCTCAGTGACTCTTATATCCCCGAAAGGCTTGCTGCTCTCGCCTCTGAAGACGATTATAACCGTCCATGTTGTCACCTCTCCTTCTATGTGTGAGCGCGAGCGCATGCCATTGTGTCTACCTTCACCACCTTTTCAGGTTTTTTTTAAACCTGTTATAATCCCTACAACCTGTTCTCCTCTGTCTGTAAGACATCAAGAGAATGTCTCTGTTGGTAGATAACACAACTAGAAATCGACAAACTGTAATAAACAGTAAGGAAACTTAAAGACCAACTGAAACCTATTTCATGTGTCTTTGGTTTATTTTTCATCTACATTTGTTTATTTTTTGTTTTTTTTAGATGCTGAGCTATGTAGGTACATCACAATGATCAAGATCATCATTCTGCTTGCTGTGTTGCTGGACAGGACAGGATTATCTAAAATTGCAACACCACATTTGAATTTACAGTTTATTACACCACCACCCAATGGAAGGCGTATGCCAAAGCTACCTTTAATTGATAGCATTGCAAGTTACAACAGTACTATTTTATTTGTCACTATGACTGCTGAATAATCCATAGCAATATCATGAGGAAATGCATAGTAGAGTTCCTCTTCTAAAAGAGCCACCTAAGGTGGTCCAGGCATCTGCCTCTCCTGGTTGTGGAGGTTTGATTTATTTATCTTAAGATCATGGTCTGTTATAATTTGCTCGCACTTTAATATTTTGTTTCTCAGTGATTTCCAGTCTGCAAATAACTACTGATCTACCGAAGGTTTACCCAGCCTCTCGCCCGTTGTCAGCTGGGATAGGCCCCAGCCCACCTAGGACCCCATTCGGAATAAGTGGTATAAAAAAAAGGATGGATGGATGATTTCTAGTAAATAATTGTAGCCACTAGGGGGCAGCATAAACCCACAATTTGCATTCCATTTATGAATAATCAAGCAATTCCAATTATAGATGTCTAATTTATTTGTATTTGCCAGTGTATAAGAGTTATTTTATGTAACTAATGTTAAAACATGTTTAAGAAGCAAACTTTGATTAGTTACAAATTGAAATTACACCGACTTCATGATGACTTTAACAAATTGGATAGAAAAACTAGACAGACAGTCGAGCTGTAAAAAAGATAATTCCAAAAGTAAGTACAAAATAAATTAAAAAAGAAGCTAAGACAGATAATTGGAAATTGTACTTGTAAGACCCTATCTGTTATTTGAGAGAAAGGCATTCACTGATGGGCAGGACAAGAAGGAAAATCCATTTGATTGACATCTACACTCGACCAATAGCTGCTTCTCTTTGCCTTTACGTAATTTGCCGTTCAGGGGCGTCAGATGAACGCTGAAAGCAACAGGCTAGGCTAGCCGCACCTCCAAGCGAGTTCGAGCCCGTTACGTTGACCTGTTTGTGTTATTATTGAGTCCTCCGGTTGTGTCAGGGTCCCTGTCTGAGATTTCCCGTGTTTTCTTTGGTGTATTTTCGAAGCTTCTCCGTTATTTTTGACAGTTTGTGCAGGTGGGTAAGGGCTTCATAAATCAGAGGTTTGGTTTGTGTTGCAAGTTTGGTTAAAAACACATTGCATTTGCATATTTAAAAGCATGCAAGAATAACAATGTAACCGAAAATGTAACCGAAAAGCACGGGAATATTTCTGACCTGCTGGCATGAGATTTTATTAGAATCGCTCACTCACTCACAGCATTCTTTGTGTTTTGCACGCATTTAACAATATGATAATCCTTTATGCCTTTATACCAAAGTTATACTTATATATACATATATATATATATATAGAGAGAGAGATGTATAACTGATTGCAATTGGGTAAACACTTTTTTTTCTCCATATGGGAGGGATCATGATAGGTGTTTTATGTCATTATTTAAGTCTTTAGACCATATTGGGATGGAGTCCCTAAATAAACCCCCACTGATTTTTCAACTGTCCTGCATAAGGCCTATCTTGGAACCACCTGTTCACACTTAAAACTTTTTGTGTATAAACATAAAAATAATCTTCCATGTTTCCAGAGAACATCATTTCCCCATCAAGAAAGAATTTTTATGTCATCATCAAAATGCTTCCATTATTATTTGAACCTGACCACAATCTCTGTTTGGAGATTAATTTATAGAAGTGCATGGACGGCGTGGTGGACAGCACTGTTGCCTCACAGCAAGAGGTTTGAGGACCTTCTGTCTGGAGTTTACTGGTTCTCCCTGTGTCTGTGTGAATTCCTCCGGGTACTCTGGCCTCTTCTCACCTTCCAAGAACATGTATGTTAGGTTCATTGGACGTTCCAAATGGCCCCTTCGAGTTAATGTGAGTGGCTGTCTGTGTCAGTACGGCCCGACAATGGACTGGGGACCTCCCCATTGTAGGCTGGCATAGGCTCCAGCAACCCTGTTGGGAATAAGCGGGGTAGAAAACCGATGGATTGAAGGGAAAATAAGTAATGTATAGAAAATTGATGCTCACACAACTTTATATGAACACAATATATTTTCTTGTATTAAAGCATGACAGGACCTTCATAATTTAGGTTGTAATTGGTTATTTACATTCTTCTCACCAGCTGCCCGAACAACAACACAGGTTTTCTGTCAAATAGCAAAAAAAAAAAAAACACAAATCCAGCCTTGGAGAATTTCAGGTGATTGCTTTACCTAAAAAGCACTCAAACAACCAATCTGCTAACAAAACGTGCTGATCCGTTGTTTGCATTTACGCTTGTAAGAAAGGGAAACCTGTATCAAATTTAGTCGGTCCAATTAGTCAGTACTTGTTTTGACTTTAAATGAATAATTTATCTGGAGCTGGGATATGCTCCAGCCCCACCACGACCCTCGTTGGGAATAAGCGGTATATGGTTATATATGATTTATCTGAAAATGTTTAATTTGAAGTCAAATCTCTTGCAACAACATATCACATATCTTTTACAGATGAAAATTTTAAAGATATTTTGTCTGTCTGTTAAAAAGGACACTGACAAAAGCATTTATTTATTGAACCAAGCATACATTTTTTTTTTAACGAAACATACTACTTAACATCTTTTTTGTAATTGCAAAGCGAGTGTCATTGCAACTTACTACTTACAGGTCGCACTCTCAGAAGGTTTTAACATTTTTGTCATGGTTTAGATTGATAAAAAATGTATTCTCATATCAAAATTGACAAACAAATGAACTCCTTTACTTTCAAATAGAGTAAATTGTTTCGCACTACACTATGAACAACAAATTTTGTTGCCAATTTTTTGTTTCTTAGAAAGACCTGAAAGAAAGAATTTTCATTGATAGCATTCCAAAAGTTGATCTGCCCGAAAAATTTTTAAGCCCTTTAAAGGGATTGTATTATTAATATGTGACAGTATTTCTTATGGCTTTTTAAGATAAAGCCAATCTTGACGTATACACAGTAAAAGATTCAGTAGGTTTCAGGAGAGGCTCATCAGAAAGCAGCACAGTAACAGTCCCACCCTATACATACTGTCCCACATAGACTGGCTTTGTGTGATTGGTGTGTTGTTGTGGGCTGGCCCAGCACTGAGCTCAGGTTAAAGTTGCGCATTCATGATTGTTCTCTGGGCTGAGGAGGTGGAAGCTGTGTGTTGTTCTTTGTGAGAGGCTGACTTGGTTGATTTTTCCTATCAACCAGTTTTAATTTTTGAACCATTTTATATTCGCTGCGAGTTTCCACACCTGCCACCAAAAGCTAACAGCTGCTTCCCCTCTACAAATATATACCCTTGCCCTTTAAACAGACTGTGGTAAAATGTCTCTAACTGTAGCAGGTAAGTTTGCTTTTTGATAGATGTGTTTATTAACCATTTTGTGTGTGGCCTGTTTATGTAGTAACTGAGCTATTCCAGACACACTTACACTGAAGTAGAGTATTCAATATACAATTTTCCTTAATTGCCATAATCCTCTACTCTGTTGCTGTCACAAATATTTACTTCATGTAAGTAGTATAGGAACTTATATTATTGCTTTTATGGCATTCTCTGTTGTCCTTCTTTAGTTTTTTATTAAATGAATATTGTGCTTAAAATGCAGAAAATACAAGCAAAATATTTTTTAAGCATCCATAATTTCATGCATTTAAATGATCTTTATCATAAGATAGAAACAAACTGATGTAGTTAGCCTTCAGGCTAAGTTTTTCATTGGATTGTTTTCATTTACATTGTTCTTGGATTGAGCTTGCCATCCCAAGCTAATTTCTGTTTAAAGTATGACAAAGTAATTGCAACAAGATACCCAACCATGTAGTTTGCATGGATGTAAACACAATTTCAGGGCAGGACTCAATGTGGATTTCAATGTTCTCGCTATGACCCGAGAGTCTTCTCAAGACTGTCGCTTAGCTTTGTGGGAAAATAATAGTGAATGCCTGTTTCATTGTAGATCTCACCAGAGGAGTGATGACAGAGTTCCAGGAAAAGCTCCGTCAACAGCATGAGGAGTCGTTGAATCGAGAGCTGGAGACCTTGCTTGCTACTGCCAGCAAATCTGAGGCAGAGGTGGGGTCACATTTAAAAACTTCCAGACACTGTCACAGAGTTTCACAGGACAGAATCAATTAGGGGGAAATAAATCTTAATTGTCTTTATTTAATCTCTATATCTTAGTATAACATTAAAGCTGAATGATATTCAGGGTCAAGGAAAAAAACATTTGCATCTGTGATTGATAGGAGTTGTTCTGGTAACACTAGTTAATAGCTTTTGTTACATCAACGGCTTGATATTGATTAGGTAGTGTGATATATCTCACCAATGCGCACATGATTTACTTGTTAAGATTACTCCAGAATAAAATACTCCCTTTGCAAGCATCACATATCAAGATTTATCTGTAAGTGGTTTAGATTAATCATACATTTGGATTAATGTGGCATCTGAGCTCAGCCTCCTCACCATAGACTGTGATGACTGTCTGCCTTCTCTCAGTGGAAATCTACTGATGTTTGATATTTTTTAGCAAGATGGTTCAAGAGGGCACCTGTCCGGCCATGGTCTTATTTATCTCTTACATGTTTCGAGCAAATATTTGCTGAATTGAATGCCGGGGGTCCATTAGTTCACACAGCACAACTTTTTGTTGGAGAACCGAACAACCTGGGTTTCCTGAAATTTGCCGCAGTTGTAAAAAGTTTATTTAAATGTGGCCAGATTTTGTAATGAACTGAATCTTCCGTAAATTTACAAGTGAAAGCCTTTATGAAATGTTTCTTGACAAACCAGCAACTTCCTTACATGTGTAAGTATTTGATTAGTTATGTGGGGGTAATTAACAACAAAATGCACTTTAAAAAGAAATAATCCAATGAATATTTTACAATTTAATATTGATTGTTGTCATGGCATACTTTCATTGTGTTTTCTAACTGTCAAAAATGTTAATATAAATCCAAAAGCAAAAATAGATACATCCCACTAACATTGTATGTTAGCCCTCTGTGGGGAGAAAATCCATTGAGCATCGACTATTAATAAAATGCTTGATTATGATCATAGACACGCACACACTGTAGTCCATTTAGCCTCTAGCTTTATCAAAATCAGCTTCCTAGGAAAAATGTCTAAGAGTTCACCAGCTGTGGATTAATTCACCATGGAAAAAAGTTCCTACATAAAACAAAACACTACATTTGTTTAACAAAACTGAAGATTAATAATTTATTCTCTGTGATTTTGAATTTAATTTCAGATCACCAGAAAAGATTTTGATGGCTTCAAGAAGCTCTTCCACAGATTTCTGCAGGTTAAAGGTCCTTCAGTTGACTGGGCCAAGATCAACCGGCCACCCGAGGACTCGGTAAGCCCCTAAATACCAGTTGTTTGACTGCTTACTGGGTTTCAGTTTGCAATGCTCTGTGCTGCTATTCAACATCACTGAAACCCATTTAGGTATAAGAGTTCACAATTTCATAACACTTTTAGTTTTAATTGGTGCACTTAGAGAAATTGAAAAATAATAAAAAATGTATTAATACTAGGGATTTCCTGGAAGTGTGGATATTATGTTATGTATTCTATGATTAGCACAGGAGTTGAATTATGTTTTTATTTTTGCTATATACCAAGTATTTTGGGGATAGTCTCCAGCCTCCCCACAACCCTAGTAGGAATAATTATTTATACAGCAAATTAATGAATGACAAGTGTTTTTTTTAAAAACATTTCTGTAGCAGCATTGAGAAGAGGCTCTTTATTTTTTCTCTTGTACTAGTTTTTGAATTATGGAGACAATTATTCATTCATAGTTGTATTATTAATTGCATGCCTCTTACTTAATGAGTCCCTGTAATGAGACTTACTGTAAATGGTTCAAATTGTCTTCAATCTCATAAAAACTTGTAGTTTATGACTGTAATATATCTGCAGGTGTCCATATCATATTTTTAACACTTTAATCAATCAAAGCCAACTCTCTGTCAGTTCTGCGGTGTGTCTGCTTTATTGCAGGATTAAGGAGGAATGATCAAATGTTGCCTTAGATACCAAGCTAAACAATATGTTTGCTGTAAATGACTGGATGTGTATAGTGCTGTTTTTTAAAGTTTAAATAATTTGCATCTCACTGCACCAGGAGTGATAATGGAAGATGCTGACCTGGGCACTGAAAGCCATCTGGGGTTTGACGTCTTGCATAATGGCCTTTCCACTTTTGGAAAGGAGGACCTAATGTCAGTCATATGATTATTCCTTGCCCTACCCATTGAATCCCATTAGATCATATGTATCACAGTCATGTGACCTTAAAAATTTTTTTTCTGGTACATTGTTTTAAACAGAAATTGATTTTGGTGAGGTTGGACCCCCTTTCATCTTACATTTTTTATGTGTCCTGTCTAAAAAAGGCCATAGAACAAACTAAAACATTTTTTTTAAATGTCTTCCACTGTCTTCTACTTCAGTCATGTTTGATTAATTTAATGTTTTTGAGAAGGTGTAGCATATTTATAGTGAAATTACTATTTAACTGATAGGGGACTCTTGTTTTGAGTTGTTTTCTATCAGTAAGTCTGAGCTATTAGGAAAGATGCAAGTAAACTATCTACGGTCTTGTTTAAAAGGTATTGTTTTTTTTTTATTCCCGTGGGTTGCACTTGCACTTTTCGCCTCCTGCAATGTTTAGGCTGAACTATGCAGAGTTCAAAACTGAATCTGACAGGAAATCAGTTTGCTTTACATCCGTCACTTTTCCTTTTAGATGATTTAACACTCATGAGCATGAGTGTCATACTTCAAAAACAAGCCACTGTAACCAGAATGGTGGACTGACTAATGTCAGTTATGACTTTTCCCACACACACACTCCCATACATTCCCTCCCCCAGTGCTCCTAAAATACCCGACTGAGAGAAGGTTGCAGCTAAGAATAGTCTGACCGCCTTAGAATTTGAAATTGTTGAAGCCGGACTGACGCTGACGTGTGTCTTGTGGTACTTTAGACACTGCCAGGCAGCTGTTTGTCTACATATCAACCTATTCTCAACCTCCAGCATTACCCACTCTGTTCCATTTTGAACTGTTGTTGATAGTCCCTTGACCGTGCACAACATTCCCATGCCACAAGAAGGATTTTTAAAGCATGTGAAACCGTTTAACATTGGTGCACATCTTTAAGACTTTTAGGCTTTTTATTCATAATAAATTTACAGGAAGTGTAGTTAGTTTTACAGAAAATACCCTGCACATGGAACAGTGCTTTTATAGTGCTTTTGTATGCTAGCTGTTTGCCTTCGGTATCTTGCCTTTTTTAGGATGCTGTTCCAACTAAAAAACTGTGTTATAACATTTTGCAGCTCTGCAAAAGTCTTACTGGAACAACAATATTCTCATAATATTTTCTTCTAAAAATAAAACACATCACTCCAAGAATCAAGCTGTAAAATGAGTATGAAAAGAAACTTTAAAAGTCTTTATTCTAGTATTCTCTCTGTTCTCTATGCATGAAATGTCCTTTGTTCTTTTGAAACCACACTTATTTGCACCTAATGAGTAGAGATAAACAACACAGCATCATTTCTTTCAAATAATATTACAACTTTGTTGCTGCTTCTCCCCCATACTTTTCTCCCCCATACTGTTTACTCTGCCCAGATGAATCTACACTTTAGCTACCTAAATATCCATCTCTGCAGCAGTTCCCATTACAAGGCCTTTTCAGTCCAACTGTACCTCCACCTCTGTGGCTACACCCACCACCCCATTACACCCCCACCTCTGCAGCTGACCCCACAACCAGACATCCTCTGGCCAGCTGCACGGGAGGGGGTGGACAGGGACCGTGTGAAGGTCCTATCTCGGTGAAACCATCAAGGAATTTTTATTTGACCAACTGATTTGTGTTGAAGCAAAAACTCATTACTTTAATTGACTGGTAAATTCAGCATGGTTGTTTTGTGATCAGTAAACTGAATTCGATTGAGATCTGGCTGACTGATATTGACAGCTGCTAAGCCTGCTGTTCGCTGTCACCTGACATTTATCCCTCGTGCTCCTCCATGTGAGCGAAGCTCGGGATAACACAGAGATCAGTTACTTAAATAGTATTAAGCAACATTAAGTGTTTCCATTGTGCAGTGACAGAGCATTTTATGGATGGATGGTTTAGTTTCAGTCTTTTCCCTTCTGTAATAAACTACAACTACAAAAAGTTCATACGTGTGACATAAAAAGATACATCCTCCAAAGCAGATTGTTTGGTTTTGTTGTTAGCACTACAAGGTATTTGAAATATTTTGAAGGGGAAAAAAATGTATTTCAGTGGAAGAAAGTCTTCACAAACTGTGAATAATAACAATAAACATAAGAAAAGTGTTTGCAACTGTAGATTGGCCAAGACAAAAACCATTGCTGTTAGACTGGGATACTTATAGCCTCACGATACATGGTGTCCTTTCTGTGTTCCATGTGTTGCTAGCCAGAGTAACATCCATCACCATCCTGCAGTGTAGTTTACTGAGTGGTCCAGTCCGGCTATATTCACTGGTAAATCTGCTTTATTCACAGATTGACCATTTATCTCTGCAGAACTTAGATTTTTAACCAGTTTTGTTTTGAGGGGAAAATGAAAGCAGTTCATCTGTTTTTAATCCCAGGTTATTTTAATCTCTTATAGAAAATAAGTAGTAAGCGCAGTTCATTTATACAAAAGGAAGTGATGAGCGAAACATCTAATCTTAAAGCTGAACATTTCAAATTGACCAAGAATTAGACTTTATCCATGTTTGGTAGGAAATCAGATCTTGAACTTCACAAACATAAACAACTCTGATAATTGTCAGTATATGATATAGAAAATATATGCAATACTGTACCACTCTTGATATGATGTTGTTACAAAACTTTAAATACATCTTTGTGGTCTGTTACAATACTGTCATTTGAGTTACAATTTGCATATGTGGGACATATGCTTGATCTTCAGAGTAAAGGTTATGAAATAAAACACCTCTCTCTGTTGTGGCACAAGGCTGCTAGTACATGGGAACTATGACAATTAAACCTGTTTGATTCTCAGCAAGTGTTCTTGCTCTGCTGTCTTATCAGATCCAACCATATGAGAAGATCAAGGCAAAGGGGCTCCCTGGTAACATTACATCCTGCCTGAATAAACTGGTAGTGGTCAAACTGAATGGAGGTCTCGGAACTAGCATGGGCTGCAAGGGCCCCAAGAGTTTGATCAGCGTCCGCAATGAAAATACCTTCCTGGACTTGACTGTGCAGCAGATCGAGGTACAAACGCACAAAAATGTTGAGCTCTGTACCGTGGTACCTCAGTAGTGTGTGTGAATAATGTTTCATGTTTTCTCCTCTGTTCGTGTGTGTTTCTTTCAGCATCTAAACAACACATTTAACGCAGACGTGCCACTTGTTCTTATGAACTCCTTCAACACTGATGAAGACACAAAAAAGATCCTGCAGAAATACACACACCACCGCGTTACCATCCACACTTTCAACCAGAGCAGGTTCAAATGTCAGATTAAATGTACTTTAAACGTATTTTCTTTTACTGTCACCTTTTCATTTAATACTTTTGTAATATATTACATCCAATGAGTCCTGCTTGGACAGTTTTGTTCTGTAACTTGAAACATGCTCTTTTTCTTTTTTTTCAATTAATTCCCATTCATTTTTTACCCTGCTTTATATAGCTGTCTATGACCTATGACATAAAGAAGTAGAGGAAAAAATGTTTAACTCTTATTTTGGTTCATCTTCAGCACAAAACTAAGCAGCAAAGTAGACTGTATGCCTGCATTTGGGACTTAAAAGTTGGATTTTACACAGTTTAGGTAGTTGAATTTAATTGTGATTAGATAGTTTTGCAAAGTGTTCCAATCTTAAACAGTAGAAACTGGCTGCCTGGTCTTTTTCTGGGTTGTTATTCGTAATTCTCACTGTAGGTTCTCCGCAGTTGGAGTGATGTGATATATGTATGTTCAGGTATTGTAAACTTTGATTATCACTTGATTCTTATGAAAATGGGCCACTGTGCAAGATACATTTTTCATGCAGAATTAATACAGTAGAAAACATTACTGTTTCTCTTTTCCTTTAAAACTCGGACTGCTACTCAAAATTGTAACTTAATCTTTCAAAGTCTACAGTGCAGACAGGTTCTGTAGCAGAGTCATTAGGCATCAGATGAATTTAATTTTCTCATGGGCTAATTCCTCAAGGCTCCATTTGATCATCTTTAATGACTGGAAGGCAAACAAATTCTTACCTCTTGAATTGCTGACTTTATTTTGTTTCTTTTTCATCCAGGTATCCAAGGATTAACAAAGAGTCTTTGTTGCCAGTTGCCAAGTCCATGGCAACAAGTGGTGAGAATGCGGAGGCCTGGTATCCGCCAGGTCATGGAGACATTTATGCCAGCTTCGACAACTCTGGGCTGTTGGACAAGCTCATCGCAGAAGGACGAGAGTACATCTTTGTGTCCAACATTGACAATCTGGGAGCCACTGTTGATCTGTTCATCCTCCAACATCTGATGAGCCAGCCAGCGGACAAACGTTGCGAGTTCATCATGGAAGTCACTGACAAAACTAGGGCCGACGTAAAGGTGAGCCCAGTTCACTCTGCTGTCCCTGAAAATTCGCGGTGCTCTCATCCTGATGGGAGGCCGGTTCGGCTTGGCTTTTCTCAGTATTCGCATTTACCCTCTGCAGGGTGGAACCCTGATCCAATATGAGGACCGTCTGAGGCTGCTGGAGATCGCTCAGGTTCCAAAGGCCCACGTCGATGAGTTCAAGTCTGTCACAAAGTTCAAGATCTTCAACACCAACAACCTTTGGATCTCTCTGGCTGCCATTAAGAGGCTGCAGGAGAAGAACAACATGGACATGGAGATCATTGTCAACCCAAAGGTAGGAAATACTGCCTCATGAATGATTTCGCATTGTATTTACTCTGGGAGGCTATAGATAGATTGATCCATCCATCCATCCATCCATACATCTATCCATCCATCCATCCATCCATCCATCCATCCATCCATCCATCCATCCATCCATCCATCCATCCATCCATCCATCCATCCATCCATCCATCCATCCATCCATCCATCC